CACACACACACACACACACACACACACACACACACACTAAATAAATGTTTAAAAAAATTTAAAAAAAAAGTCCTAGAGCCAATGGCTCACACTGTGGGCCCAGTGAAAGAACCTCAGGGGACACAATTAATAGAATACAGACTGAGCCCATGGCTGTCCCATAATCAACAACAGTGCAGAATCCCAAATAGTTTTTCCTTGTCATATTTCCACTTTCTGATGTTTCAGATACGTGAAATACATACAGAAGAAAAATGAACTTTACCGCCACATGGAGCAACCAGCCAGAACACATACAGAAATCAATGTACTTTGAAGCTTTCATTTTAAGATGTTTTCCAACATGAGTGTATAGAACTGATTATGATAGTCTAGAAGACACTCCAGAAGCACATGGTATAAGTTGACATAGGCCTGCCCACTCTGAGGCTACACACGTTATGTTTCCAGCTAAGTTCACTGAATAAATGTTTCAACTCAAAGCTACCATCAGTTGGTTAGCGACATAAGTTCACAACTAAATGTGCTGTGATGAGGTGAAGCCTGTTTGTAAGAACTGTGCCACCAGCTGAGTGCCACTAGATGGCATGTCGCTCTCCCTGGTCTTCCTTCTCTCTGCTTTTTGCCTGATCATTGACCAACTTTATTCTGTCATGTGATACCACCATGCTGTTTTCTTTCTGCCTTGGAAACAGCTAATTATAAACTCTATTCTCAACTAGGAACCAAATAAAACCTGTTTCTTAAGTTGTTGGTGTCCTGTTTTCTATTCAACAATGGAAAAACTGAGTAATATGGGACCTATGAGAAAGTCTCTTCCAACAATATACACCATTCATCTCTTCACTGTGTTTCTGGTAAAACTGTGTTTAAGTATACCTCTCAGTCACTATAGTAAGGGTCCTACCCCTTAGCTCAGTTCTTTAAGTGGCTACTGCAACAAAGCAGTCAGCCTCAGGATGCTGTGGTTCGGTCCCCACAACTTCAGCCAGCCAAACATGCCCTGAAGGCATTCTGAGCCAGCCCCCCCCCCCAAAAAAAATCCTTCAGTCACTATGATGATTAAAATGAATTTGAACGGCTAAGACCCAATCCATTAAATTTTTCCGAGTTAATATTTATTGGGATTACTATCACCAGAATGGCATACAAGAAGATAGAAGTAATCTACCTCGTTCAGTCTTACATGCCAGTGTAGGTCTGACATAAAAGCACCTAACATATTACAATGCCAATGATGGCTTATCTTACAAAGACCGGTGTTTGTTCCATATATTTCTGTATTAAAGTGTTGAGGAGGATGCATACAAAACAGTTTAATTATGTACAAATCTATCATTTACATGTTTAAATTGGTGAATTCTTGCACAGAGCCCCAGTACAATGGAATCTCCTCATGAAAATAAAGGGGCTGACAGTAGGAAAAGACAGAGAAAGAAGGGCACCAAAGCTCACAAGCCACACACTGGGATGGTATGTGAAAGCAACGTAAATGTGCAATAGGGAGGAGAGTGTGTTGAAAATCACAAACGTACACACAAGAACAAAGATACTTTGTGTAGCTCTGGACTCAGGGGAGGATCTAGGGGAAGTCGTAGTGTGAATATATTGAACCTGTTTCTTATGCTGATAGAGAAAGTACATCATGGCAGCACTGCCACAGATTATGAGCACAGAAAATAAAACTTCGGGCAATATAAGTAGTACTAAATATATTGATGAGAAGAGGTTGCTACTAACTTTTATAGAACAGAATCCAAAATATCTATTTGTTGTCATATTTTTGTTATTCTGTTTTCCATATGCCTGCATCGGGAAAATGAAATTTATTATCACATACAGGATCCAGCAGAGGTAAATGGAAGACTCAATGTACCTTGGGGCTCTCACTTTAAGATCCTTCCAACAGAAGTACACGGGACCAATCGTGATGGTCTGGAAGACACTCAAGAGGCATGTCAGCGCGGTGGACACACCTCTGCCCAGTCTGTAAATATACAAAAGGATTTTGCAGCCAAAATCACTGAAGGATTCTTTCATGCCGAAAGCTGCCATTATATGGGGAACTCCATGAGAGAGGATGATGAAGAAGTTGGCTAGAGAAAGGTGCTTGAGGATCAAATCTGTGGACCTTAATGCGCTCTCTTTGTCATGAAGAAGTAGATAATAGCAAACAAAAGACAAATTACCAAGAATTCCAAGAGTAGTCTGTGTTAAGAACATGACTCCTATTGCCATATCACTGCGAGACATTCTGTTAATCAGCACCCCTTTAACAAAACATAGTGGCTACAAGATTCCTTTCAGTATGAGGTTTTGCTACATGTTTTTATGTCCAGCCAGGCTGAGATTTGAAGATTGCTTGAGTCTAGGAGTTTGATGACAGTCTTGACAGGATAGCAAGAAAAACTATTTCTGTTAGCATGAAAGGCAACTTTTATTGTATGCTCCTGCAGGATTTCCAAAGACAATTAAATGGACAAATTGATGAAGATAATCACTACTTATATTTTGGAATAGTCGACATCAGGGTGAAATGACGTTAAGTTGGCAGAAGCAATAAAAAGTGAGAGGAGATGAAACGAAATCAAAACTCAGCATGTCTAGATAATCATATTAGGAAAAAGGGAAACTTTTTCAATATCAACACAATACTGTGTAATTCCAATTGGATTTCTGATCTAAATTGTAAAGATAAGTAATCAAATACATGAAATAAGCAAAAACATTTTCTGTGGTTTTATTTCAGAAAATGTATATTAAAATGCATAAAAACATCATCCAGTTTAAGTGCCAAACTTGGTGATCTTAATTCGAGTGCTGTTTCCATGAGGTGTCATACAAACACACACACACACACACACACACACACACACACACACACAAATCATGCCTGAGGGTGAACGAAAAAGGAAATAAGCAGAAGGTTGAAAAACAGATGAATGTTCATTTCGTATCTGTGTATTCAAAGTGGTCAGGATAGATATATAGTTACATTCTCTTAATGAATAGAGGGATTTGTTCTCATGGTGTTTGTAAATAGGATATCATGTCCGCATCTTGTACAGCAGTTAATCACTGGGACGAATGTATGCAATGTGTTAATTATTGAAGCTGTCCTACCAATTTGATTTGAAACTGTCTCATTGCTATTTGTTTATTAATAAAATTATGGGAAAAAAAGAAAAAGCGAGATGGGTATCAAGGTGAAGCACTCTTAAGAAATGCAAGAGGATAACAAAAGGTGAAATGCTTCAACTGAAACTTGAAAAATTTTATTAGTGACTATGAAAGTACTTCAATTTGCTTATTGAAACCAGTCCTTATTATTCTTAGTAAAACTCTATTTTTTTTCTTTTTTTTTGCGGAACCGGGGATGAACTCAGGTCCTTGAGCTTTCCAGGCAAGTGCTTATTCCACTGAGCTATCTCCCCGACCCCTCTATTTTCTATTTAAACTATAACTAGAAACCAAAAATTGAAATGGCAGGATATATGATGTATCAGTGTAGGTGTGGATGACTTACAAGTGTCTTATGCTGGCAATTAACAATCAATGTAAGGAGAAGTTATATAAAATTTTATCCCATCAATCTCGCTCTTATGCATACATTTTCAAATATATTTCTATTTATAAAGCTGAAGAGACATTCCAATATTGATACACCAATAAGTCATGATTATTTAAAATCACAGACTTTCACCACACATACCCATCATGTACATGCTCATTCATAGTAAAATGAAGGAATTAATGGTTGATGTTAATACAATGCAATCCTCCACATGAATGGTGAACCACACCATTAATATAGTCACAAATTATATGGACAATGAAAGCTAAATATCAAAGGAGCTTTCTGGGTAGTTTAACAATATAAAGTGAAGCATACGTAGATGTTACTTAATCTCTTAAACGTTAATATGAATGTAAACATCTGTCCTCACAAGTTCCTCCTCAAATAACAGATCTATCATTTTTGGGGTAATGACTTAGAAAAATACACATATCCTTAAGTAAATTGAGATAGTATTATTATAATAACAGGAATGTATATTGTGAATTGTGTTCAACAGAAATAAATCTTAAGTCTTTTCCTGTTTAATGTTTTACTGCTGAATTTGGCAACCACATGCATCAAATAAATGACACCAGAATACACAGGGTTCAAAGAATGGACAACTGAAAACTGTCCTTATTTGGAGGCTTGATTTTTCATACCTACCTGCAATTCTGAGGGCTTTCTGCAACAGCGGGACAGGCTAAAGTAGCACACCATGGCAATAAATACTTTTTGACAACTTTGTGAAGATGAAAACTTTTACTCAAGATCATTGGGAAAAGGCTTCAGTCGGAACCAGTCTTGGGCTTCTGAACACCTTTAAGAGAATTCCAGAGACAAGATTGCAATCAATCCTTAACAATCACATAGATGTGCTTTACATTACACCCAGAGCAGGAAAGGATAAGATTATGGTAAAGGTGAAAGAAGGCCCATAACTATATAATCTCAGATGTGGATGTCATTCTTACTTGCAATACATAGTAGCCACTTTTCTAGACTCTGGTAGCTGATATTTGTCTTCTGAGTTAGAGGTTTCTGTCTCAGAACATGCAGTGCTGCTATATTTTTCTAATCAAGTGCTATATAGTATTTTCGCTGAGGAATATTAATTTACCTTCTATTTAGCTTTCTAAAGAGGCTTTTAGAACTTAGATGTATGAAGTAAAAATATTATTAAGCATATATGAATTACTCTCATAATCCTGTACAATGTATCTTATATGGTTTAATAACTACGAGTGTGGGCAATGGCATTATTTATGTTTGCTAAACAAGAGTCCTTGGAAACGGTTTAGTGATATCTAAATTCTGGAGAGTCTCAAGAGACTTGAAGATGGCTAGACTCTGTATAAACACCATCGTGTAAGGTCTATTCAACACTAAAGCTAGATCAGCTATGTTTCCAGACAATCTAGATCTATCTTCAGTTTGTTTTCATAATTTGGTATTTCGTTTATATTGTTTCCATTTTGATAAAAAAAAAATTAGTTTGGTGTTAAGGTTTGTTCTTTAGGAGATATCATCCATACAAATAAAGCATTAAACATCCTAAGGAAATGTAGTCCTCTACTTTTCAACTTAAATAGCGGGATATGGCCCATATCCAAGTTGGAACTAGTAAATGTAATGATAACTTAATATGTACTTTGGCAATAGAAACATTCTTCTTTTCATGCAAAGATTCAGTGTTACCTACGAAAAGATAATAGACTATATTCTGTCTTTAAACACTGAAAGATAAAATACTAATATGTGATGGAATTGTGTAAGATTGAAAATAGAGAGCAAACTAAAATATAAATCATAAGAAATGGAGAAATTGATCATTCACAATAGAGAAGAGAGCTTAAAGATGGAGGGTGAAGGAAGTGGAACAGCATGCAACATGAACTAAGATTCTTATGTACATGTGCAGTCTCCACATAAGAAACATAGGTACAACGTGCTGCAAAAATATACAAATAGAAACAAAAATTGCAAGAAGAAATTAACTATTCCATGTTAAAACTTGGCATTTCCTACATGGTAGGTTAAGTAAAACTATTAGTAATGAAGAAAGATTTATGCAATCCATTGACGTATAAAAAACACATGCAACTAAAATGTGAAAGTGTAAAATATGGAATTTTTATGTAGTAAAACAAGGAAAAATTAGTTATAAATTTGTGATTGACATTAGAACGTATAAAACAAAATATTTTTAACTGACAAATACTTGTAATTTTAACATTATTGTCCTTTAAGTGTTGTGCTTGTAAATTAAAAAGGAAAAGCAATCTCACATTATGATTCACAGGTATCTCAGTAGAGGCTGCTTTACTATCTCTACTCCTAGTGTCCTAACTACAGAGTACATAAGGACCGCTTTTATTCTGCAAACATTTACATCCTTGTTTCTGTATATAATTATATGATTCTTACAGTCCCACAATAGTACTTATAAAAAATATGAAGTTATTATTTGGGTATCCTTAAAATAATGCTAATATTTTAATTCTTGACTTGTAAATAAAAACAGATTTTGCTGCTTTGTCTTTAAGGACTTTAAAGATCAAATTTCACTGTCAGTTAGATTTTCAACATTTATTTTCTGTGAGGATCCAAGTAAGGTATAATAAAAGCTATTATGAATTAGTATGAATTCATGGTCACTTATTATCACAACTAAGGAAGTTTTCTGTCCCACATTGCCTTGGCACTGGTTCTATTCCCTCCCATCTCTTTCCCAAGATTAAACAATTTACTCATACAGCCTTTCCTTTCTGATTCTGTTTTTCAGATTAAAATTAAAGATATTCACCCAATTTCTGCCCTCTGTCAGAATGGAAGACTTGCTGTGTAGTCAAGAAGAGGCAGGATCCTGAGAAAGGGAGGCAACTGGACACTCAGAAAAAGATTTGAGATTCTCTGCCCTCGTCTTCCTCCAGGAGCCCAATTATCATTTTACCTCTAGTACTTTGACAGCACTGACCTGGGGAGTTGATACATTTCTGAAAACCTTTTCCCAGTTGCTGCTTATGAAACTAATTATGAGTTATTTATGAGTATAGTAAAAATATGATGTGCTTTGGAGAGACATTATTACATGATCTGTGAAAACTAAGAGGGTCTCATGTGGAAGGTAGTGGCAGAATTAATGTTTGGTCTATGTGACACTTGTACAGAGCTATGTGCTTCTCACTGAAGTTCAAGTTTTCTTGAGTTCTTCTACCCCAAATCAAAATCATTTATAATGTGAAATTCCAAGTGGAACCAATTTCAAGGATAAAGCAGAAAACCAAAATCAGACATACTATCTAAGAAAGATTTCTAATGAGGTCATAGAAAAAAAAATCAACATGATGACATAACGTGTTTCAGAAATCACAGGGCCTATTTGCATAATTGAATGAAAATAATTTGAAGTGATTGTATGAAAAATTTTCTGATCGATGAACTGACAAAAAATGACTGATACGAAGCCCAAGCAGATTATTATTCACAGAAGAAGCAGACACGTACATACTGGGTCTCACCATGAAATCAATAGCATGAGACAGTTCAGCTAACAAATCCTAATGCTTTTACCAACTATCACAAAATCCAATTGTACCTGGTCCACACAACAGCAGTGAAAGTTAACAAGATTTATCTGCAGCACTCTATGCTGAGAAACAAAAATTCCACCGGTATATTGATTAATTAACAA